GCTTTGTTCTCTAGTTCTGTTTGTAGAGAGCCCCACTCAGGTACTACCTCTTTTGACTGATAGTAGAATTGCATCAGATTATTAAGTCACAATATAAATCATCAGGGGGTGGGGAATTTTACAATTATAATGAGATTAAAATGACATGCTAAAAATCTAAAGGCAGCTCTTAGTCACCTTGGCCCATGTTGACCCATTCTAATAATCTTGTTTTATAGATTTTGTGATCATTTGGGCTTTGTTTTTAATTATCCTCTCTTCCTGAGTCTGAGAATCTTGAGTCTGTATGTATAAAGGTTATAAAAGTCCCCTTTCAGGGTAACTTGTGTTCTTATCAGGGAGAGGTCTTGGACACTGTTATGATTTGGTTATGAGGTTCCCCCTAAAACTTGTGTTAATTCAGGAATATTCAGAGGTAAAATTATTAGAGTATGGGAGCTACAACTTAATTGATCCATTCTAATTTGAATGGAATAACTGGGAGTTAACTGTAGGCAGGTGGAGTGAGACTAGAGGAGGTGGGTCACTAGGCATGCCCTGGAAGGGTTCATCCTCTCTGTGGCCCCTTCTTCTTTCTATTTCTTGGGCACTATGAACCGAGTAGTGCTTCTCCACCATACCCTTCCACCATGATCTTCCACCATGATGTTCTACCTCACCTTGAACCCACAAGTGTGGAGTTAGCCCACCATGGATTGAACCTCTGAAACCTGAGCCAAAATAAATTTTTCCTCCTCTAAGTTGTTCTTGTTGGGTATTTTGGACACAGAAATGAAAAGCTGACTAACACAGGCATATATTCCTTAGCTCTGAGAATAGCCCTACATATGACAGGTTGTTTGTCAAGGAAGAGTAATATTCTCTGTTGACTAAACATAGAGCAGGACCAGAATGGCCTTGGGTAGATTGCTTTTCCAAGAAAAACTTGTGGGAGACCAGCATGTAGGCATTGTCTATTTAATTATCCCCTTAACTTCATGTTCCTACTGCTCATGTCTACCTGCTACCTGACAATATGGCCTAGCAGTGATCCTGGTACAATTCAAGGTCAATAAAGCAAAGGCATTGCGGGGGGCAGGGGGCTTTTCGAAGTTAGATACCTTCATATTGAGAGGCTAAAGGAGATTTTGTTTCTTTTTGATTGCTATTAAGTATACATGAACTTTTTCAGTAACTAACTCATTCATCGATTCCATAAATATTGAATGACTGTTAAGTACTGAAGAACCATTAGGCACTGTGGTTAAAGTGGTGACTAAGTCAGACTTGATTCCTGCTATCATGGAGAGAGACATAGAAGCACGTACTTATAAGTCTACCCATATTGCAAAATGGTGGCAAGTGAGCTTGACAGGATAATAAACAAAGGAAAGCTTATACAAAGACCCTGAGACATGAGATATTTCTAAGAATTGTAGAAATGGCAGTATAAATGGAATATGATAGCAACTGTGCTTTTTGTTTAGTGCTTACTACATTTCAAAGTAAAGTTTTATTTAGCATGCCCTTTTTATTTTTCTTTCCTTTAATCCTCACAACCCTATGCAGTAAAAAACTAGTTGAAAAGTTACATAACTTGCCCTCATCCAGTAGTAGGTGGGTAAAGCCAGAATTCCAATCCAGGCAGTGAGATTTCAGAACTTAATTCTTAACCACAGTGCTTACACTTCCTCTTAGTAAGTATAAAGATCAGAGAAGGATAATTGGCCAAGCTGAGCTGGAGATATAGGTAAGGATTATGCCATAGAAAACTTTTAATCCCTGCGAAATATTTTTAATATTATGCTAAGAACTGTGGGAAGCAACTAGAAAATGCTAAGTACAAATATAAGGATGCTTTCCTGAGGTTTAGTGCTTATACCTGTGGCCATATTTGAGATTTATAAATTTACTCTGGTGTTGCAGAAAGTAAATGTAGATGGATAGGTATTTCAGGGAGAAGGTTCCTACTAACTGCATTCTCTCAAGGTGCACATTAATAAAAGGAATCTGAATATTGATCCCTATTGCAAATCACAAAAATTCTAGCTCAAACTATTCCAACAAAAAAGGAAATGTTATTATTTGGCATGACTACATTCAGAACTGGAACTCTGTTTTTTCTTAAGTTGGATTTGCTGTCTTTCTGTTGATTTCATACTTCAATCACAGATTCCCTTAGGTACATGTGCAACTGGAAAGGGTCTTTATAGGCACTCCTTTAAAAGGTCCTAAGACTCCTTACTGTGAGCATATAAATTTAATCCACATGCCTGCCCTGAAACATTCCTGATAGTAACAGATTGAGACATCCTAATTAGTTTATAAGTTATAAGTTAGAGTATAAACTCTAACCAAGCTCTGCATACTAGAGTTTGGACTCCCTACTGAGACTGTATGGACCAATAGGGAGGGGGAGGGTAGGTTGCCCAGATGCCAAAGAGAGATTTTTATATTGGAAAATAGCAAATATTTTCCACACATATCCATTTTTATTATATTTTAGGAAACATTTTAATCAGTTGTTTGCCACTTACTTTTTATAGTATATTTAATTGTGTAAAATTTTAAAGTTTTTGCCTATTTAAATGTTCATTCTATCTCTAATTAGATTCTTAGTTTCTTTAACATACCTTCTCTTTAACTCTTTATGTGGTAACTAGAACACTGTTCTTTATAAATGTTTTCATGTTTCATATTACATACCTGAAATTTTTTTTAGTCATCTGAAATTTTTCTAGATTGTAAAAGAATATTCTTTATGTTGTTAAATTTTATTATTCCTCCCTTATTGATTGTTATTACTTCTCTTTTTTAGTAGTATACCCAGGTCTTGAAATTAGATTTTCTGCTAAGTTAAATAATCTTTGAATTCTATTGTGGCTGCTGTCCTTACAGTCATTCATTCACCATCATGATACATACTTATGGCAAGCCAGAGAATATAAAATGTAGAGAAGATAAAAATAAGCAACATAAAATAGAGAAAGCAGGGCCATTTAATATAGTTAGTGACAGATAAAATTTTAGAACAGTGTAAGCAAATGCTATATATGAATATGCTAGTATTTTTTAAAAAGAGAGAGAATTTCTTAATATTTATTTTTTAGTTTTCGGTAGACACAACATCTTTATTTTATTTGTATGTGGTGCTAAGGATTGAACCCAGTGTTTTACAGTGGAAAGCAAATACTCTACCATGAGCTACAGCCCCAGCCCCATGCTAGTATATATTTTAAATTAAGAAAGAAATTTTTGTGTAAAAATTTAAATTTTTAATATGACTCAAAGTATTTGAACAATCCAACCAAACCAGTTATAACCATGAAAGAAAATAGACTATCATATGCCTAAAGAGGCACTAAACCCATAGAATATAGTGGGTGAATTTTAATAATCTTTCAAGAAACAGGTAATTCTCTTGCTATGAAAATATTTTAAGATACAGAAAAATTGGGAGTCTCCATATATCATTTCATGAGATTAGCATCCTTTTAGAGACACTAACCAAATAATATACTGCACCCTTCCCCAGAATTGGTGAGCATATACATATATCAGCATATACTTTCATGGAGGGCTGTGTGCCTAGAGAGGGCTATGAGGTGCTGGAGACCTTTTATCTTAGTTTTATTTGTGATACCTGTATTTATAATGATAAATATTCTAATAATATTTTTAAATTCCCAGTTTAATTTTTGTAGGATTTTTATAGGCTTGTCCATTTTTTTGGTTTTAAAGTATTTCATCTACATTTTTTTCAATCTGTATTATAATTTTTATCTTGCTCCAATTCCTTTTTATAGGTATTTATTAAAATGGAGTTTTTATTTCATAGCATTTTCCTAAATAATTTAAGGTCTTATTCATGGATTTATTTCCTATAATTAGAGGGTAGAGACCTACCTAATCAACAAATTGTCCATTTGCTTTAATTTCAAGATTACATAAATTCAACTCTTAAAAATTTCACTAGACAAATTTTGTATGGAAACTCAGAAATCACAATTTATTCTCTAGGATACATACATCAACTTGTCAGTATTGACTTAAATTTATCACCTTTGTAAATAGCAGAAGAACTGGACTAAAATGAAATATATTTAGTTAAAAAATTATTTTTAAATATTTCATGTACTTTTTTTCAATATTTATTATAATTTTTATCTTGCTCTAAAATTCCTTTTTATCGGTATTTTGTATATGATAATATCAGGAATTTTCTTTTTTTTAATTGGTTGTTCAAAACATTACAAAGTTCTTGACATATCATATTTCATACATTAGATTCAAGTGGGTTATGAACTCCCATTTTTACCCCAAATGCAGAATCACATCGGTTACACATCCACATTTTTACATGATGCCATATTAGTGACTGTTGTATTCTGCTACCTTTCCTGTCCCCTACTATCCCCCCTCCCCTCCCCTCCCATCTTCTCTCTCTACCCCATCTACTGTAATTCATTTCTCTCCTTTTTTTTTTCCCGTTCCCCTCACAACCTCTTTTTTTCTTAAAACCAAGAGCTTGAGAGATACACCCATTTTTTTTTTTACAAAGTTGTCTTAAAAGGGAAGCCATAAATATGGAGGTCTTTTCAAAAAACAGCAGATGAGCCAACGTGAGGGCACATGCCTGTAATATAGGCCAGGGGCTTGGGAGGCTGAGGCAGGAGGATGGCAAGTTCAAGGCTAACCTCAGCAATTTAACAAGGCCCTAAGCAATTTAGTGAGATCCTGTCTCAAAATTAAAAAAAAAAAATAAATAAATAAAAAAAAAGGGCCAAGGATGTAGCTCAATGGTAAATTGCCCCAGGGTTAAATTCCTAGTACCCTGTCACACACACACACACACACACACAAAAAAAAAAAAAAAAAAAAAAAAACACATGATAAAGGTTATTATTATTCATTCAGTAAAATTAAAACTAAAAAAAAAAAAACTCTAAAAAAGGAATTGTGAGACTGTTTTGCTAGTCTATTAAAATGAGGCCTATTAAAAGTGTTCTATGTACTTGCAGATTGGCCGCCTCCAAGATCTGGTAAGGAAAAGTGAACAAGGTCTTGGCTCTGCTGAAGGACTCATTGCTAGTCTTCAGGACTCCCAGGAAAGACTTCAGAATGAGCTTAACTTGACTAAAGGCAGACTGAAAGAAACCAAGGATGTTCTAGTAAATGTTGAGGTAATTGTATAATTCTAATGTAAGATAAACATCAGCAAAATAAAAAATATAATTTAGCCACTTTGATTACAACTTATTTAAAATATCAAATTGTATGTAATTAGTGTATTGATTCCTAGGGCTATTATAACAAAGTACTACAAACCTGGTGACTTATGGCAATAAAAATTTATTATCTCACAGCCTATAGGCTCAGAGTCTAAAATCAGGTATTGACAGAACTGTCCTCCCTCTTAAATCTCTAATGGAGCATCTTTCCTACCCTTTTTCAGCTTCTTGTTGCTCCAGGCATTCCTTCACATTTGGCTGCATAATTTCAGTCTCTCTCTGTTTTCACATCGTCATTTTGTAGGAATGGGTCATATTGGATTAAGGGTGACCTCATTTTAATTGAATACATCCCCAGTACCCAAAAAAAACAAAGCAACCTCTCTTCCTCCAGCCCAAAACATTCTAATAAATAATAAATGCAGTCTAATAAAATGCAGTTCCTGGAGGCAGGGGACTTGAAAAGAACAGTTGGATTAATTCAGTTTTCAATAGTTACTGTTTAATAACCAGGTCAGCAATGTTGAATGGCAGTTCCCATGACTTACTTACTTAATTTTTTTTTTTCATCTGGATATACTCCTCAAAACCTGCTGTACCACATGCTGTTAGGAATTGGGTGGTCCAGAAAAGGTCACCGTGGTAGCAAGAAGATGGACCATCATCTGCTTTCCTACTACCTAGTGTTCTTAGAGTAGCTGCACTGCTGGCAGAGGTCCATGGTTGCCTGTGATGTCCAAATAGGTCATCTCTAGCCTGTGCTCTAGGGAGCTACATGATCTATGCTTATCAACAGGGATTTCATATATATCATATTATATTACCATAACAAATGAGCATGTGGACTACTGTCTATAAAAATAGTAGCCTAAGTTCCACATAATTCTTTTAATCAAGTTAGAGGGATGCAGCTATGTGCTTAAGCTTTGAAAAAATAATGCTTTTGAATATGAATATGAATTAATTTGAATAATATAACTGTGATGTTGTATATGCAAAAATTATTCAATAATCAATCTGTTGTTAAGTACCCATGGTAAGAAATGTTTAGTTTATATGATTAATGCCAACTTTGAACTCTTTTTTAAATTTTTTTTTATTTTTTAGTTTTGGGTGGACACAATATCTTTTTATATTTTTATGTGGTGCTGAGGATCGCACCCAGTGCCCCACGCATGCCAGGCGAGTGCACCACCACTTGAGCCACGTCCCCAGCCCCCAACTGTGAACTCTTTAAATAACTTATACTATTTTATACTACTCATCTTAATAGTTTATTTATTTATTTTATACTATTTATCTTAATATAGTTTAGACAAGCTTTAAAACAGAAATGTGTAGGGCTGGGGAGTCAGCTCAGTGCCAAAAGTGCTTGCCTAGCATGTGTGAGACCCTGGGTTCAATCCCCAGCATTGAAAATAAATAGATAGATGTGTACTATATATTTTATTGTCAAAATCTTGAATAATTGTCATAGATAACATCACAGTTATTGTTTCTTAAGAACTTAAAAATTGTAACACAAGCACTTGATACTTACCTGAAATAACCAGCAGTGTCTTTGCTTTTGAAGATATCTTCAGTGAAAGGTTTTTATTCTTCAGGCTGAGCTAGAGCAGGAGAGGCACCAGCATGAAGAAACACTTGCTGCCATGAAGGAAGAAGAGAATCTTAGAGTGGACAAAATGGCCCATGAGTTGGAGATAAAGTGGACTGAAAATCTTAGGTATATTTTTTATTCTGTAATGTCACCTTTCCAATACAGATGTGCAAGAAAGTTTTCCTGTTGTATGACTTACATTGTTAAAGATGGTATTTTAAATGATTTTTTTCTCCAGGATTAGATGCAGAGATTTTAGAAATTTTTTTCTGTTTAAATTCAGATTTTATTTTTTCTGATTTTATTTCCTATTTTATTAAATAGGAAGAGAACTAATCAGAAGTTAACAGACTTATTTATTCTAGTACCTGTTCTGTCCTTAATCAGTGGATAAATAAGTGATGAGTAAGTTACCAGTTTACCTTATGGTCCTTAGCTATGAAATAATCAGCTCCTACTCTGAGTCACAGACATTTGAGGAGGATTAGGCATTTATAAAAGCTGTGAATGACTGTATGTCATTCACATTATTCACTTAGAGAAATAAATCTCTTTACATAGTAAATACTTGTGTTTTTTTTCTAGACAGGAATGCTCTAAACTTCGTGAAGAGTTAAGGCTTCAACACGAAGAGGATAAGAAGTCAGCAATGTCTCAGCTGCTGCAATTAAAAGAGCGAGAGAAAAATGCTGCCAGGGACTCATGGCAGAAGAAAGTCGAAGATCTCTTAAACCAGGTAATTAAAGCCTGTACCTTCTAAAGATTCATTTTCCTTGACCCTCTTGAGCTAGGAAAATACTATAAAGCACTGTGTGCAAATTCACTGTATTTTGTTATTTTTCATAGGGCAAACTTAAAAAAATTTTAAAGTGAATAAAACTAAGACAACATATTTAAAAATTTGGGAAATTTGAGCTAAGAAATTATTTTATATATATCGTCTTAACTGTGAATAATTGATGTTTTTTAGTTTAATATTTGAACTGAACACATTAGAGATTTTAAGTAGAGAAGGTAGCTGTTCTTTGAAAATATAAAATCTCCTTTAAGCTCCTAGATACCTTTTCACAACAGAAGGGAACATTTATTAAATGTACCCTGATTAATTAAAACCACTCTTCAAAAACAAGCAGTCAACTTCTTTCTCACCAAAGGGCTAGTACTTGAAGCCCCTTGGAGATAGTATCACATAAGCAAATGGTGATAATATTTTGAAATCTGTCTTTTTTATGTTTTCTTATTTCCAGAACTTTTATAACTATAATTAAAGTAATTTGTACATTTTTACTTATTTACATAACCTCTAACTTTATGAATTCTTAGCATTCTCCTACTAAAGCAGTAATTAAATAGACTACATGAGTCATCAGTTGATAAACAAGTACAGAATTTGGGCAAAAAGCAGCTGGTGCTTTAGTGCAGCAAATCCACAATTATGTTTCTGTTTGTGATCATGATTAATTTCAAAATAAACAGGAAAGGCTTTTTCTAAGATTATTTGTCACATAGGTACATATGTATAGTGTCTTTCAAGAATGCTTGGGGTCTATAATTCACCAATTTTTTAAAAAAATGAATGCTTAAGGTCTGCCAATTTGCACCTGGTATTTCATAATAATTTACGATATTATTCTGAAATAGAATTACATACTATGTGTGAGAGAGAGCTTCGTGAATCATTTGAAACCTTTGAAATTCAGACAAAAATGGGAACAAGAAATAGTTGTTATTAAAAGTTCTAGCCATATTACCTTGCTAATTACCATCTACACATTTGTTTTACTTTCTTTTTTCTTTTTTCTCTTTTCTCTTTTTAGACAGTACTGGGTGCTCTACAACCAAGTTACATTGCCAGTCTTTTTTATTTTTTATTTTGAGATTTTTTTATTTTATTTATTTTTTAACATGCCCAGGATGACCTGAAACTTGTGTTTCTCCTGCCTCAGCCTCCCCAACACACTAGAATTATAGGCTGGAATTATATGTGTGCACCACTCACTCATTTTACATTCTATTTAGGGACCCGGAAGGACAGAATGTTACTAAGCCTCTATCATGTTCTGCACTTAGGAAAATTAATTAGTTCAGCAGGCTTGGGCTTGATGATATTAAAGGATTAAGAGTAGGGAATAAGTCTAGGGCTTGGGCAGAAGCATATACTATGAAAAAGAATCAAGAGTATCTGCATTTTCACATATTTAATAGTTTCTGAGTGAACTGAACATGAGACTATTTTTGTACCTTAGCATACCTGTATTTCATCCTCTTTAGAGCAAAGGAAAACATGAAATAACTTGTTTTGATATGAATTTAAATGTTTTTATTAGTTCTTTTAGCTATGCATAACAGAATCCATTCTAATAAGATATACAAGCATAGGATATATCTTATTCTAATTAGGATCCCATTCTTGTGGGTGGACACAGTGGTGGGATTCACTTAGGTATTTTCATATGTGCACATAAGAAAATTATATTAGATTTATTCCACTGTCTTTCCTATTCCTATCTGCCCCTTCTTTTTGTTCCCCTTTGTCTAATCTACTGAATTTCTCTCCCCTCTCCTCTTCATTATGGTTTAGCTTCCACATATCAGCAAAAATATTTGACCTGTGATTCTTTGAGATTGGTTTATTACACTTAGCATGACATTCTCCAGATCCATCCATTTATTAGCAAATGTCATAAAATCATTCTTCTTTATGGCTGAGTAAAATTTCATTATATATACATACATATGTATAAACATACATATTTATGTGTGTGTGTGTGTGTATATATATATACACACACACACACATACATACATGTCACAGTTTCTTTATACATTCATCTGCTGATAGGCATCTAGGTTGGTTCCATAGCTTAGCTATTGTGAATTGTGCTACCATAAACATTGATATTTATGGCTATGTCACTGTTGTATGCTTATTTTAAATCCTTTGCATATATGCCAAGGAGTGGGATAACTGGATCAAATTGTAGTTTCATTCCTGGTTTTTTGAGGAATCTCCATAATGCTTTCCAGGGTGGTTGCACCAATTTGCAGTCCCACCAACAATATATGAGTGTTCCTTTTCCCCCACATCCTCATCAACATTTGTTGTTACTTGTATTCTTGATAATTGCCATTCAGACTAGAGTGAAATGAAATTTCAGTGTAGTTTTAATGTGTATTTCTCTAATTGCTAGAGATGTTGAACATTTTTTCATATATTTATTGATCATTCATACTTCTTTTGAGAAGGGTCTCTTCAGTTCCTCCCATTCATTGATTGGGCTATTTGGGTTTTTGGTGCTAAGCTTTTTGAGTATTTTGTATATCCTAGAAATTAACACCCTATCTGAAGTATAGGTGTCAAAGATTTTCTCCCATTCTGTAGGTTCTCTCCTCACTCTTTGATTGTTTCTTTTGCTGAGAAGAAGCTTTTTAGTTTCATGCCATCCTATTTATTGATTTTAAATCTTATCTCTTGTGCTTTAGAAGTCTTGTACAGAAAGTCAATTTCTGCCAATATTTTGAAGTGTTGGGCTTACCTTTTCTTTTAGTAGGTGCAGGGTTTCTGGTCTAATTCCTAGGTCTTTGATCCACTTAGAGTTGATTTTTGTGCAGGGTGAGAGAGAGGGGTGTAATTTCATTTTGCTACATATTGATTTCCAGTTTTCCTAGAAACATTTGTTGAAGAGACTATCTTTTCACCAATGAATGTTTTGGGCACTTCTGTTTAGTATAAGATAACTGTGTTTGTGAGTTTGTCTCTGTGTCTCCAATTCTGTACCATTGGTCTACATGTCTGTTTTCATGCTGTTTCTGTTACTATGGCTCTCTAATATAATTTAAGATCTGGTTTCGTGAGGCCTCCTGCTTCACTCTTCTGGCTAAGGATTGCTTTGGCTATTCTGGGCCACTTATTTTTTCAAATGAATTATATGACTGCTCTTTCTATTTCAATGAAGAACATCATTGGAATATGAAGGGAATTGCATTGAATCTGCTGAGTGCTTTTGGTAGTATGGCCATTTTAACAGTATTGATTCTCCTTATCCAAGAGCAATGTAGGTCTTTCCATCTTCTAAGTCTTCCTCTCAATTTTTTTCTTTAGTGTTCTATAGTTAGTCATTATAGAGATCTTTCTTCTGTTTTGTTAAGATTGATTCCTAAGTATTTTTTTCTAGTTACTCTTTTGGCTGATTCATCATTGGAATATAGGAACACAATTGATTTATGGGTGTTAATTTTATATACTGCTACTTTGCTGAATTCATTTATGAGTTCTAAGAGTTTACTGGTAAGAGATTTTTTGGCTTTCTAAATATAGAAGGATCATGTCATTGGCAAACAGATACTTTGAGCTCTTCTTTTCCTTTTTGTATCCCTTTATTTTTTTTATTTTGCATAATTTCTCTGGCTAGAGTTTCAAGGATTAAGTGGAATAGAAGTTGTGAAAGTGGGCATAATTTTCTTGTTCCTATTTTTAAAGGGAATGCTTTCAGTTTTTCTCCATTTAGAATGATGTTGGCCTCGGGTTTGTCATATGGCCTTTACAATGTTGAGGTATGTTCCTGCTATTCCTAGTTTTTCCAGTGTTGTAAACATGAATTGATGCATATTTGGTCAAATGCTTTTTCTGCATCTATTGAGATGATGTGTTCTTGTCTTTGAGTCTATTTATGTGATGTACTACATTTAATGATTTCTGTATGTTGAAACAACCTTGCATCCCTGAGATGAACCCCATTTGATCATGCACTATTTTTTAATATGTGATTTGCCAGTATTTTATTAAGAATTTTTGCACCTATATTCATCAGGGATATTGATCTGAAGTTTTCTTTTATTGATATGTCTTTGAATGAGTTTGGAAGAATTCCCTCATTTTCTATCTCATGGACTAATTTGAGGACGATTGGTGCTAGTTCTTCTTTAAAGGCCTGGTAGAACTTAGCTGGGAATTCAATCAGTCCTGTACTTTTCTGTGTTGGTAGACTTTTGATGGTTTCTTCGGTTTCATTTCTAGAAATTGATCTGCTTAAATTTTAATATCCTCCTGGTTCAATTTAGGTAGGTCATATATAGAGATAGATAGATAGGTAGATCTATCTATCTATATATGCATGAATTTGTCAATATCATCAAGATTTTCTAGCTTATTGGAGTTTAATTTTTCAAAATAGTTTCCAATTGTCCTCTGTATTTCTGTAGTGTCTGGGAATATTTCCATTTTCATCATGGAATTTAACAGTTTGAGTTTTTCTCTTTTTTTAGCTTGGCTAAGGGTTTACCAATTTTGTATACAAGTTTTCTTTCATTGCCTTTTAGGTTTTTTTTAATCTCAATTTCATTGGATTCAGGTCTGATTTTACTTTCTTGTTCTATTGATTTTGCTTTCTAGTCTTTGTTTTGTTTAAACCTGTGATTGAACCCAGGGGTGTTCAACCACTGAGCCACATCCCAGCTCTTTTTGTATTTTTATTTAGAGACAGGGTCTCATTAAGTTGCTTAGGGCCTCACTTGAGTTGCTGAAGCTGGCTTTGATCCTATCCTCCTGCCTTAGCCGTTTGAGCCACTAGGATTTACAGGTGTGCCCCACCGTGCCTGGCCTTTCTATTCTTTTAATGAATGAGCTCAGTGATATGAACTTTCCTCTTCAAATCACCTTATAGTGTCCCAGAGGTTTTGATATGTTGTATCATTATTCTCATTTTTATTTCTTCCCTGATTTCTTCAAATTTGTCT